TGTCACACAAACCTCCAAAAATGGGCTGGACAAAAGTATTGGCACCCTTTCACAACTGCGGATAAATAAGAATGTTACAAGCATGTGATGCTCCTGTAAACTCACCTGGGGCAAGTAACAGGTGTGGGCAATATAGAAATCACACCTGAAAGCAGATAAAAAGGAGAGACGTTCACTTAACCTTTGCATTGTGTGTCTGTCTGTGCCACACTAAGCATGGACAACAGAAAGAGGAGACGAGAGAACTGTCTGAGGACCTGAGAACCAAAATTGTGGCAAAATATCAACAATCTCAAGGTTACAAGTCCATCTCCAGAGAACTAGATTTGCCTTTGTCCACAGTGCGCAAACATTATCAAGAAGTTTGCAACCCATGGCACTGTAGCTAATCTCCCTGGTCGTGGACGGATGAGGAAAATTGATGAAAGATTGCAACGCAGAATAGTCCGGATGGTGGATAAGCAGCCCCAAACATGTTCAAAGACATTCAAGCTGTCCTGCAGGCTCAGGGAGCATCAGTGTCAGCGCGAACTATCCGTCGACATTTAAATGAAATGAAACGCTATGGCAGGAGACCCAGGAGGACCCCACTGCTGACACAGAGACATAAAAAAGCAAGACTACAGTTTGCCAAAATGTACTTGAGTAAGCCAAAAGCCTTCTGGGAAAACGTCTTGTGGACAGATGAGACCAAGATAGAGCTTTTCGGTAAAGCACATCATTCTACTGTTTACCGAAAACGGAATGAGGCCTACAAAGAACAAAACACAGTACCTACGGTAAAATATGGTGGAGGTTCAATGATGTTTTGGGGTTGTTTTGCTGCCTCTGGCACTGGGTGCCTTGACTGTGTGCAAGGCATCATGAAATCTGAGGATTACCAAAGGATTTTGGGTCGCACTGTAGGGCCCAGTGTCAGAAAGCTGGGTTTGCGTCCAAGATCCTGGGTCTTCCAGCAGGACAATGACCCCAAACATACGTCAAAAAGCACTCAGAAATGGATGGCAAAGAAGCGCTGGAGAGTTCTGAAGTGGCCAGCAATGAGCCCAGATCTAAATCCCATTGAACACCTGTGGAGAGATCTTAAAATTGCTGTTGGGAAAAGGTGTCCTTCCAATAAGAGAGACCTGGAGCTGTTTGCAAAGGAAGAGTGGTCCAAAATTCCGGGTGAGAGGTGTCAGAAGCTTATTGATGGTTATAGGAAGCGACTGATTTCAGTTATGTTTTCCAAAGGGTGTGCAACCAAATATTAAGTTAAGGGTGCCAATACTTTTTGTCCAGCCCATTTTTGGGGTTTTGTGTGACATTATGTCATATTTGCTTTTCTGCCTCTGTTTTATATTTGTTCCAATACATACAAAGGGAATAAACATGTGTATAGCAAACATGTGTTAATGCAATACCTTTTTTGTGTGAAATACTTGATTTTCAGGAAAAATATCAAGGGTGCCAACAATTTCGGCCATGACTGTAAAATCTAGCCACATCTATGGCAGCAGCAAACCATTCTCTGCCAATCTCTAATGGGAAATGCTCAAACTGGTTGGAAAACCTTGTTTAATCGCTATTCTCCTTTCTCTGCCCACAACCCTTCCTCCTCTCTGCTCCAGTATCCGTTATGCACATTCATACAAAAGCAGCGCACATTTTTATATGAGAGACAGCCAACAAACATTTCTGTGAAAAGTTACACTTTGCCTGGACATCTGACTGCTCTTGTAAGCCTATAAGCACCTTAAAGTGTTCCTAAACCCAGGACCCTGCATTCACTATATTGGGTCTCCCACAGTACACACAACATGGAAATGCAATTGTTTTAGTAAATATAAACTGCTAAATACCTTTTCTCATCAGAAGTATATAGCAGTCTTATGACCAGGGTGGGTGCTTCCACTAGGCAAACTAGGCATCCACCTAGGGCGCACTGCCACCTAGGGTCGATTGGGCGCATAAGAGACCAGCACTCTCTCTGTGTGGCCTATGAACCTCTTGTATGAATTCTTAATTTCTCTGCAGAGTCCCCCTCTCCACATACACAGGAAATGATGAGGGAATGATGGTATCTTTATTCTGCACAATTGTCTCATAGCCTGTTTCCACACATTACCATTTAGTACACATATACATATATCAGTATTCCATGTAGAAGTGAAGTGTTGGCTCCCCCTGGGATGAGAAGTGATGACATTAGCGCAGGACCCCGGGCAGTCCGCAGTCCTTGATTGAAGGATCGGTCCGTACATCTCCGGTACACACGATCTTCCAGCTGTAACAGGGAGCCAGCTGATGACCAAATGGGGCATGTCCAGCGCTGGCTCCGCATTCTTCTACACAGCTGGAGCCAAACAATAGGCAGGGGTGTGCTCTGGTTGCAGGGTTAACCCTATGTGAGTAGGATGATCAGGGCCCGATGTGTATGAGAGGGAAGCAGTGTAGTGCTGGGATGCCGTCTGTCCTCACTGAGAGCTGCAGCCTGGACTCCACACCCCAGCAGCAGCCATTAGAGGTGAGCCTAAGAGGATGGCGGGTCAAGGAAGTGACAGGAGAAAGAGGGGGGCAGACAATAATTGGTGTGAGGGGAGCGGATGCTGATTGATCATGTGGGACACCACCACGTCATGAGTGATCCTTGAGCTGAGGGAAGGGGCGGCGGGGGAGAAAGGACAGAGGAAGATGCCGGGTTTCCGGGGCCAGTGTAGCAGCCGAGCTGCTGCTCCTTCCAGTGTTCCTCTCAGACTTAGTCCAGCTGGTGGCTAATGATCACTGTGGAGTTTTGTAACTCTCTTTTGTTTTGTGTGTTTTTTTTTTTTGTTTCTCTGTCTTAATACAGTTAATTTATATTTGGTTAATATATATTTTGTTTTTAATATTGGTGCTAATGGCATCTTAAGGCACTTATTTTTTTCAAATGAAAATAAATTTAGCAGTTTAATGTTTTGTTAATTTAATAGTTTCTATTTTTTTTGGGGGGGGGGCAAGTAGTTGGTTTTGCCTAAGGTGCAAAATAGTCTAGCATTAGCCCTGCTTGTGACTTCTATCAGTGTCCAGCAGAGCACTGGTTAAAGCTTGTAGGTGGAGCTTTCATTCTCCACTGATTGTCCTGCGAGGCTGCAGGACCCCTGACCCTCTGTCTGGACAGCACAGATTGGCCCTGTGGGCCTATTCATATGCACTCTCCCAAGAAAAAAAAAAACTCTAGCAATATACACCAAACTGAGCAGGTACAGCTGGCCCCTGAGGCTCTATTCTGTCAACAGATGGATTGGGGAAAGTACAAGAAGTGGAGTATCAGAGAAGACAGGATCAAACATCCTTTTTACACAATACGGAGAATTAACACTTGAGTTTCCACAGTGAGTATAACAAGCATGCTTTATTGCATATACAGGCTGATTTTACTGCTGTGGGTTTAGTAACACTTTAAGTGCTGCTATCCCAAAGGACTTGATGGACCATCAGGGTTACTACCAAGGAGGTAAAGGCAGGAAATCAGGAACAAACTAGGTTACTGATGGTGATTTCAGTCTGCATTCAGCAAGCAAACATTAGATGATCTGTGGAAGAGTTCACACCGTGATGTTTTGCCAATGCAATTTTACTACCATTTTTTTTTGTCACAAGACTTGCATAGAATGTCTGTTAGGGTGGAGGGTTGCCTTTAAAGCTGAATTTCAGGAATTCAGCTCCTTTGCAAAACATGGAGGCACACTATGCGTCAAGTGCACGGTGCTGCATGGCACCTCTTGGACTTATCTCTGTTGTTTACATTTGAAAAATGAATGGCTCTGCTGATACACTCTGGCCTGTGAGACTGTGAGAGAAGAGAAGCACGCAGAGCAGCTATGCCCGCCTCTCCCTATCTGCTTCCTATTTACATAAGCCTTTGTATTTTGTGAATGAGTTCACTTAATACAAAGTCTTCTGTGAATGGACAGGAGGAGGGGTAAACATAGCAGCTGCAGCAACTGCTGAAGATGTCAAGATCAGAAGGTTCAACTTTGGGCTCCCGAAACTACAGCAAGAGCTGTCTTCTGGGAGTTCTATAGACCTGTCATATGAAAAATAATAGAGACACGTCCAAGAGGTGGCATGCACCTCCTTGGACTTAACTCACAGTGTGCCTTTTTATAAAGAAGCTGATTTCCTGGAGTTACACCTTAAGGCTTAGGTTATGGGCTCATAGGTTAGGCATTCATTTTAGAGTTAGGTATGGTTTTAAGTTTAAATGTTAGGAGACAGCCAGACTCCCAACACAGAAAAGTAACATATCATTCATACATATTAAGGGAAGCTGTATTTTGCACTGGTCAACAAAATGCTTCTGGAAAAAGACTGGCCAGGTAGGTCCCAAGCAAAAAAAAATGTATGTTTAGGTTTACTGGTCCTTTTTAAATAATGGCTCGGTTCTTCAATATTACACTATATTTGAGCAGGAACATCTGTCTCTAGCTGTAGGCTTTTTCAATAGACAGAGTATAGCATAATTATTTTTTATTTACTTACATTCTGTCTTTGAATTAGTGAGGAAATTTGACTAGTCAATTTCCTAGCACAGCCCCCCCCCCTTCGTTACATGTCAAAGCCCTCTTCTTTTCTGGGAGTGTGTAATTACTTTCTGTTCTGGCAAAGGTCTTTGGCCCCAGTGTTCATATTCCTACATACTGTAACCCTTTATGTAGCTGCTGGGGGAGCGAAAGGGAATAATAGAGAGTGCCACTTGAGCAACAGCTCTGTGTCTGCAGGGATAATACTGAAATGTTGAAATGATCTAGCGACAGGGTCTCTTTAGGTTTTACATACACTTTGCCAAAAGAGAACACTTGTAATAAAATGAGAGACATTCAATATTCTCTAGAAAATGAGTCAAGCAATAACTTGTTACTTTCAATAAATATTTGTAGCTGTAAGTAATTAAAACACTGTAGATGTTGAACCTTGTTGGCAAGTCTATTACAGGTAGTATATAGAGGCACATACGATTTTTCAGTAAATAGAATTATTTAATCGTCTGCTTCATCTTCACTGGATGCCTCAGAGGTCTCAGTAGAGTTGCTGTCACTGTCGTCAGTATCACTGCTATCATAATCTTCATCAGTATCTTCACTGTCTTCATCATTGGTGACATGGTCTTCTTCTAGAATATATTTAACAGTGACATAGTTACATAGTTAGTCTGGCTTAAGAAAAAAGACAAAAGTCCATCCAGTTCAAGTTATAATCCTACACCCACAGTTGATCCAGTGAAGGCAAAAACCCAGCAAAGCATGATCCAATTTGCTCATGCAGGGAAAACATTCCTTCCTGATCCCCCGAGAGGCAATCGGATATTCCCTGGATCAACTTTACCTATAAATGTTAGTATCCAGTTATATTCTGTGTAACTAGGAAAGAATCCAGGCCTTTTTTTAAAGCAATCCACTGAGCTGTCCAGAACCAACTCTTGAGGGAGTCTATTCCACATTTTCACAGCTCTTACTGTGAAGAAACTTTTCTGTGTTTGAAGATTAAATATATTTTCCTCCAGACATAACGAATACCCCCTTGTCCTCTGTGATGACCTCAGGGTGAAAAGCTCTACACCGAGTTCACTATATGAACCACTGATGTATTTATACATGTTGATCATATCCCCCCTTAATCTCCTCTTCTCAAGAGAGAATAAATTCAGTTCCTCTAATCTTTCCTCATAGCTGAGCTCCTCCATGCCTCTTATCCATTTGGTTGACCTTCTCTGTACTTTCTCCAGTTCCCCAATGTTCTTTTTGTGAATTGGTGCCCAAAACTGAAGTGCATATTCCAGATGAGGTCTTACTAATGATTTGTACAGGGGTAATATGATATCTCTCTCTCTGGAGTCTATACCTCTTTTAATACAAGAGAGGATTTTGCTCACTTTAGAAACAATTGGCAATTGTATAGTAAATTTGATCTGTTCCTGGCTCTGTTGAAATCACTGCTCCATGCCTTTGCAGATTGTACTTTGTATCAACTTTAAAATATGACTTTATAATCACAGCAATTCACAAAACCCCGTCTGATATTGTCCTTAGTTTTATAAACTATTTTCAGGGGCAGAAACTTGCTATGTGTAGTATAATATGAAGCAATGCTGACTGATATCAGCTAATATCTCTAATATTGCTTCACGTTTTACCCGTGATTGATATTTTTTTTTCCATACATTTGGGCTATTTGCAGAAACATTCTAAGTCCTAGTTCACACTTATGTGTTTCTTGGTTCTTTTTGCAGAAACGCATTACAGTCCATTTAACATGGTTTCCTAAGGGACACGTTCACATCTATGCTTTTCTCAGCTGCTGCATTTTTGAAAAGGGTCAGGGACTTTTTTAAATGTAAAACAATGTAGTTTTAGTTCAAAAGACTTGAATGGAGACGCAGCAGAAAAGCATGTATTTCATTTTTTGACATGTTTTGCTTTTTTTAATCTGCCCAACAACAAATTGGTAAAAAAAAAGCACAAAAATGCAAAACGCATAAAAAAAAAAGCGTCAAAAACACATGCAAAAATGCAAAATGCACCACAGAAAGCACTGCAAAAACGGACCAAAAGCAAACTGCATAGGTGCGAACCAAGCCTAAAGGCACCCCATTAAAAACTGTATGGACAACGGCAATTCAAAGCATGTCCACATTATGTAAACATTGCCTCAATCTGGACAGGCCAAGGTCATAAATTCATAGTCTGTCACCATAAGAGATCAGCATTTAAATATAATATATTCTGATGAGGAGGGTGAGTAAAACAGCACCTAAGCTTTCAATTATTAGGCCAAAGCAGGGTCTATGACCACCTAGAATAAAATATTTCATAGTTAAACTAGACAGAATCATTCACTATCTAAGATTTCACTAAGAAGAAAAAAAAAGCATACACTTTTATAGCAAACATATAGACATTCCAAACATTTACCATTCTGTATCATTTTCTGAATCAGCGGTGAAAATTCTTTTGCTTCTGGATTTTCTGGCTCATATATAAGTACTGAAATTTACCAAAAAATATTTGAATACATTAATAGGAAAGCACAATTATAACTATACAATATAAAAAGTAACTCATAGCACCCATTACAACTCCACTGCTTTATAGCAACCCTGAGGTCTGAAGAAGGAGCCTATTGAGCATGCTCCAAAATGCATTACCGCCCCCCCCTTCACTTGCTACATCTGACTCTGCTCTCCAAGATTCATTTTTGATGCACGGCACATCCTGGACTCTACTTCCTGATCCTATAGGCATAGTTTGCTGCTGGACGGCTGGATGTCCCACCTGGATCCAATTACCACACGATGAGTCTTTTTAACCGTTTATCTTGTAAGTGCAAATTTTCCATTGTTTACTAAATAAATTGTCAATACTACACTTAGAGGCGCCTTCCTCTCTTTTTCTTGTTACTGCATTAGAGCCTTGCTTGACTTCCACTCTAAGAAGAGCTGCCTCAATGTTACTGCTCCCATCCATCCATCCCTGATATCCATCTGGCACCTTTATCTTACAGCTATAGAGGTTGGGCTCCAACAAGCGCGCCCTATATAATATACATTTTAAGAATGTAAGTAGTTACTGCTCCTGCTTACGGAACTATCAAAAGCTGTTTTGTTAAAGAGCAATTGTCCCTTGAATTCTGCTGGGAAGCCGTCACTTCCAGGAGTATTTCCTGTGTCCTCTGCAGGGCTTTGTGGGTAAACGTCAGTGGGAGGATCCATTGAGCATTTTGGAGGATCACAGGTGCCCGATATTGGAAGTGTCAGTTTAGCAACAGATTTTGCGGTATGAAATTCCTACTCAGTGGATTGGCTTTTGGCAGCTTGAAAAGTAGAAAAAAGGTATTTACATTTTTCTTTACAAGGAGCTGCTTTACTTGAATTTTGAGATTGATGGAGTTTTTTTAACTATTCTAAACTAATACTAATGGTACTCAATTGGCTGCTATGATTTAGCGTACACTGCAATATTCTGTTCACATTTAAACCATTTAACGGAGCATACATCTGCTACAGCTCAGCTAAAAGAAACACAACATAGAATAATAAAATTAGAATTTAAAGAGAACCAATCTTGGGAGTATCTGGTCACTTGAATGGACAGTCTTTTCTGAAGGTGTGAAGGCTTACTTATGAAAAATGTTTCTTTGCCTCCTTATTTGGCTTTATTTCCATTTCCTGTTGCTGACACTGTAGCTTGAGTGCAGGAGTAAGAGGTATTCTACAGTCTTACATCTTGCCTGAACATACACTTGTCTCCCACCTTCTGAGTATGTATTATGTGGGGTCAGACAGGGTAGAAATGAATAGGTAAAAATGACAGGTGCATATGAAGAAATATAGAAAAAAAGAGACTAATCTAAATCTTTTATGAACTTCTCTGCACTAAGTCTACGTTCATATTCTTAAGCAGAATAGCTGTGAATGGTTTTAATTAATACCAGAGAAATAGCGAGAGAGAAAGGGACATAGAGGACAGAGATATGGGAAGAAAGATAATATGTATAAAGTGCATGCATATTCTATAAAATATTTCATTACATGATGCCAGTTATATTCATATAATATTAGAATAGGCATTTACTGTAGGTGCTATATGCAAATACTTACTCATTTGACAAAGCTTCCATGCCAGTTTATAATCCTCATCCATTACAGCCTTAATGAACTGAAATATAAACACAACTGTAAACTTGTTTTTAACACAAACACCCATATAATCACTATAACATTTATTTATATCAAGCACCTTATGTCACAAATTTAACATTTATTGGTTTTCTGGGTATTGCTTTTCTGTGCCAAAATAAAGTTTACAATACACTATATGCCTGAACTGCTTGCCTTAAAGTGGTTGAAAGGCTGAAGGTTTTTTTTTACCTTCATGCATTCTATACATGAAGGTAAAAATCCTTCTGTATGCTGCTCCCCCTACAACACCCCCTAAAACCTACCTGAGCCTCTTCTTGATCCAGTAATGTGCATGGGAGCCTTGGCTGTCCCGGGTCCCTCTCTCCTCATTGGCTGAAACACAGCAGCAGGAGCCCACTGCTGTCAATCACAGCCAGTGGGCCAATGTGGAGAGAGCGGGGGGGGGGGGGGGGGTGAGGCCAAGCCACAGCTCTATGTGTCTTATGGACACACAGAGCAGGGTTTGGGAGCAAGCATGCACCAGTGCCCCCATTGCAATTCGGTCAAGAGGGAGGAGCCAGGAGCGCTGGCAGAGGACATGAGGAAGAAGAGGATTGGGGCTGCTCTGTGCAAAACCATTACCAAGCAGGTAATCTAACAGATAATCTTCCTCTTCTTCCTAAAAGTTAACTTAACCCCTTAAAATAAAACTTAACACCTAACCTCCTCCTAAACATAATATAATTGAACTTCCTTTAGTTCCGGCTGACACTGGGAATTGCACAGGAAAACACGTGTGCATTCCTGTGCAATTCACATGTAGTTCTGTGTGGTGCGATTTCAGCCCATTCATGAAATCACACTGAACCACACCAAAAATGCGTGCACTACTTTAGGAAACTTAGAGCAACCAGACTGTATGGTACTTTTGTACCATGCTAACTGGCGCAGGCAAATGCACTGTGTTTGGGATGTCGTTAACTGCACTGACACCCTCTGAAGATCGTAAGCGCAGTGCGATTTGAATGCAGTGCGGGAAACAGGCACGGAAAGTGGGTTTCCCACACCGTGTTCTAGTGTGTATGGAATATTAGATTTACTAACGAATATGTAATGCAAGGTCCTGCTTGACTGAATACAAACTGATAGGATTGTTTAAGTAGGTCTTCATATTGCATAGGTTTGGTTAATGTACAGGAAACTGTACAAAGAACTGCAATGTCTATAATATGCTTAGAAAAGATACAAATGAATTGGAATGTGTGTGGACTAATTATCTGAAACCAACTGCTCTGCTCTACCAAAGTTACATTATAGTATTCAAAACTGTAATCAAGATTTATGTGCAAAATCTGTTTACCATATAAACGGTTATGGCAATTAATCCTCTGCAGCACCTGGTGGGGTTCAGCATGAGCACACAGGCTACAAACCTCCAACACCTCCCACTGCACTATTACCACTCATTAATTAAGCATGATGGTTAACCCAAATTTAAAGTGCATGTAAAATCTAACAATGAACTCTCAGGTCCCTTTCAGTCTCTTAAATATAAAATTGAAAGTGTTTTTTTTACATCTGATCAAACAACTGCAAAAAGAAAAAAAAAAAGGTTTATCTTATTGAAAATCTTGGCAGCCTAAAGTAGGACTAAAGGTAGGGTCATCAGGGTCACCAGAACTCGTGATCCTATTGGAACATTTTCCCTCTATTACAGTTTTAGGGACAACCCAAAATGTAGGATTTTCTTTTACTTTCTCTCTCGGAAATAAAAAGGTACATGACAAATAAAGAGAGTGAATCTCCCTAATTGGGGCACAGACAGCAATAAAAACCTGAAAGGTGTTCTAATCCATGTAACTCCACATAAAACAAAAAAAAAAAAAAACACGTTTTGCCATTAGTCATACTTTAAAACTATTGTGCTCCCTGCTTGTGCTCTGAGGACTATAGAACCACGCTCCTCTATGTTATGGACAACAGAAGAGTGACAGGATTCCATAGTCCTGTCTTTAAATGTGGCAGAATCACCATGTAAAAATAAAGGAAAAACTCTTGAAAAAAAAAAATGAATGCAGCCACCACACCTACAGTACTGGTAAGCTGCAATATATCACATTTTTTGTTTTTGGGTTTAGATAGGCTTTAAATCACCTCTGTTAAAAGCTCCAATGGAGCAGATGGCTTTTCATTGTCACTCTCATCATCATCACTAGAAGACTCCTGAGGCTGCTCTGTTAAGTTGGGGCTTTGAATGGGTGCTGAGTGGACCTCTGTGGACTCTTCATCAGTTGCTGAAATAAAAGAAAATAAACACATTTTTATTACAGTGACAATAAAATAATTGTAAAGTTTATACTATACCACTATGCCTAAAAAAAGCACGTTATATAAAGTGTAATTAAACTCTATGAAAGAACTTCATTTATCCTCTCCATTTTCGTAAGTTAAAAACAATGTATACTATTGAAAGTGTTTTATTATGTGTTCACTACATGCAAAAACACCTATTGATCCTGCCTGAAATCTTCCAAGTGTAAGAAATGACACTGCCCAATATATTACAGACCCCTCCCCCCCCCTCCCCACATACACACTTTATAGAGATGAGTAGAGGGGGGTGTGTTTAATAGTCTTATCCTAGGGTGACAATGCCGTTTCTCCATAGATACAGGATAGTAGGTGAGCATTGTAACCCTATGCTACTGATAGGATCACAAGGAAAAAATAAAAGGTAAATAAAGCCTGAATAAAGAACCATTATGCAGCAACCACTAATGCAGCTATACTTTAAGCTACAGAATGGTTGGTTGGTTAAAAATGTGTTGCTTAACCATCCCACAGTGTGTCTTGGCTCAGATTTTTCTCTCAACAAGAATGTTTAGGTGGCATGGACATTCTTGTTTAACCAGTAAAATGGGATGTCTCAGATTGTACAAACTGAGCATTTGCTTTTTTTTCGCCACAATGGCTTGGTGGGATTGTCCATAGGTGTTCCCATACACATAAGATGGTCCTGCTGACCTACCACCTTTGGACACTGACATCTCATATCTGTGGGCACATTAATAGCAAATCATTTGCAGGTTTTTGGAAAAAAAAAAAAAGGCTAGGTATAATTAAAGTAAAACTATAGGCAAACCTTTTGCTTTTTATTTTGGATAGAGTAAGGGAGGGTTATAACCACTGTCAGTTTATTTTTTTGCCATCTGTGTCCAATTGGGGAGATTTGCCTTCACTTCCTGTTCCATAGCCAAAACAGGAAGTGAGCAAATCTCTGCAAATTAAGAGAATTCCTTGGGGATCCCAGAACATCAGAACTAGTGTCCCCAATGGAAAAGATCCCCTCTTACTTTTCTGGGGACAACCCAAATTTGGGGTTTCTTTTACTTTTAATAATAATGGGAAACAGGACAAATAGAGAGGGTGAATCTCCCTGACGGGGACACAGACAACAATAAAAACTGACAAACATTCTAATCCATCTCCACTCTATCCAACACTAAAAATAACTTTGTTTTGCCTTTACTTGTACTTTAACAGTCTGCAATAAAACCTGACAGGTGTTCTAATTTATCTCCACTCTGTCCAACACTAAAAAAAAAGGAAAAATTTTGCCTTTAGCCACACTTTAATAAAGGGGTTTGGTCTAAATAAAAACATCACTATAGTTTCCAGTTGCGAGTTGTTAGGATCTCTATACTGTATTTCCCCAGTTAGCAGCTGTGTCTCATATTCTGAAGCAAAGACTGCTTCTAATATGTAAATTAGCTGAACCTCTAAACTAGGCAACCAGAGTAATTTTTATGTCCCTGCCTGATTTAAGATCATTGGTAGTCAGTGGGAGCTGTGCTTGTGCTCACCATGCAAATGAGAGCTTTGACATGCTTTTAATAATTGTTCCACAAATACTTTGACTGTTACAGCCAACGCAACACAATAAGTAGTAAAGTTGGCCATACACAGTGTTCTGATCATTCAAAAAGGAGGTGGATGGAAGAATCCCCCACTGTGGGACAAAGTACTCTGACAGTGGCACCCGGTGCTGTTGGAATACACTGCTCAGCTTCTGCAGCTGATTTTTGATGAAATTGTTTCCAACATGTCCCTACAACAGAAGTTGATTAAATAATCGATATCTATTGAGCGGGGAAGCGCACACACTGATCAAAATACCTTTAGGACCAGCGGCATTAAAACCAATGTATGGCTAGCAATAGAGTTTTTTCTTTCTTTTTTTTAACAGAGAGGGCTGTTCTTCTAAAATACATTGAGGTTGTTATATGGTGATTTGTAATGCGCATAAAGAAACCTTGTTCAGCTATAAGTTAGATACATCACCTACAGTATATACCTCAACGTAGTCAATAATTACCAGTGTTTGACGGCACAGGTTCCTTTTGCATAGGATTGGTGTCCATCTTCTTTAAATCCTTTAGGTTGGCTTCGTTATAATCTGCAATGTTGCTGCTATAAACAGAGTGATTAATATTTGTTTTATTAATAATGTTTTATAAACATCACACTAATTGATACTTAATATGTATATTCACTTGAGAATCTCAAGTGGTTATACCGGAACGATAACCGCAGCAGCAGGCAGCATCCCGGTACTGTTTTTTTTTAGAGAAAGTCAGCTGTCTTGTTAAAGCAATCCGAGCGACTAACTAGCCCCTGGATTGCTATTACAAGCAGTGAGAGGGGACATCCCCCTTCCCGCCGCCTTCTGCAGCTTTAAACGGGTTGTCCCATCCCACGTGGAAACCCGATCGACCAGCCATCTCTTTTGGTGGCTGACCATAGACCCGAAGAATGAGAACGCGAGAGTATAGGGAACCAGAAGCAATGATCTTACATCACTTCCGGTTTACCAGTATATAAACGGTGCCATTTTGAAAAATGAAAAGCATTTGAACACACTGAACTTGGAGTGATCAAATGCGTTTAAGGGCAGAGGAAGTGGGGACTTATTGACCCCAGATCTCTCCATAAAGAGCACCTGTCACTTGTTTATTGTTGTTACAAATGATATTTACATTCCTTGTGACAATAAAAGTGATAAAAAAAAAATTAAATCAATCGTCCCACACATGTGAGATATCATCGCGAAAGGTCAGGTCATGCGCATTAATTAGAGCACCAGACCTCATCTGTAAATCTAAAGTGGTAACCTGTAAAGGCTTTTAAATTGTCACCTGTGGATAGTAACATTTTTTTTTTTAAAGCGTGACATGTTTGGTATCTATTTACTTGACGTAATATTATCTTTCATATTTGACCACAAATTGGGTTACGTATTGTGTTTTTTTTCCAAAACAATTGTGCTTGAAAAACCGCTGCACAAATACCGTGTTACATAAAAAATTGCAGCACCCACCAATTTTTTCTCTAGGGCCTCTGCCTTAAAAAAAATACATAATGTTTGGGGGTTCTAAGAAATTTTCTAGCAAAAAATAGTGATTGGTACATGATAGATTGGTAAACAAAAAATGCCAGAAAAGGCTTGGTCTTCAAGTGGATATAGAACTCTAGCTCTTTACAACACAGTCAATAATATACACACTATATGGTGAAGAGTTTGCCGACACCTGACTATCACTTCTACTAAATGGCCAAACGTATGTGGACATCACTCCAAATTACTGAGTTCAAGTGTTTTACAGTGAAGGATAGTGTTAATACTACAGCATGCAAGGCAGCAAGTAGTAACAGAAAGCTCTAATACTATAATATGCAATACCTGGGTGTAACACGCTTTACTGTACACAGTGAGATTTGCTTTGTAGATGCAGAACATTTCCTTCCAGCTGATCCATGTCTATCAGCAGAAATGTCAGACCTGGAGAAAGAAATATTTTATGCGAGCCATAAATTTACAGATGACATGTATATATACAGTTGTGTCCCAAATTATTCAACCCCCACTGAAATTGAGTGTTTTGGCCAGTTTGACATTGCTTTTGATCATTCAGTCATCTTGCTTACATTTACATTAAAGAGGCACTTGTAGGTCAGACAAATATAACATAACAGTTATAATGAAATAACCACAAATGTCTTTTCTGTGCTCACAGCATTATCAGTTTTATTCAACCCCCAAGTGACATTCAATCTTAGTACTTAGTACAGCATCCTTTTACAGTTATAACAGCTTTTAAACGTGAAGCATAGCTTGACACAAGTGTCTTGCAGCGATCTACGGGTATCTTCGCCCATTCTTCATGGGCAAAGGCCTCCAGTTCAGTCACATTCTTAGGCTTGCGCACTGCAACTGCTTTCTTTAAGTCCCACCAGAGGTTCTCAATCGGATTTAAGTCTGGTGACTGCGATGGCCACTCCAAAATGTTCCAGCCTTTCCTCTGCAACCATGCTCTAGTGGACTTGGAGGTATGCTTGGGATCATTGTCCTGTTGAAAGGTCCAACGTCTCCCAAGCCTCAGGTGTGTGACGGACTGCATCACGTTTCCATCCAATATCTCCTGGTACTGAAGAGAATTCATGGTACCTTGCACACGCTGAAGCTTCCCTGTACCTGCAGAAGCAAAACAGCCCCAAAGCATGATTGACCCTCCACCATGCTTCACAGTAGGCAAGGTGTTCTTTTCATCATAGGCCTTGTTCTTCCTCCTCCAAACATAGCGTTGATCCATGGGCCCAAACAGTTCTAATTTTGTTTCATCAGTCCACAGAACACTATCCCACAACTTTTGTGGTTTGTCCACATGGCTTTTGGCATACTGCAGTCGACTCTTCTTATTCTTTGGAGACAGCAAGGGGGTACGCCTGGGAGTTCTGGCACGGAGGCCTTCATTACGCAGTGTGCGTCTTATTGTCTGGGCTGAAACTTCTGTACCCACATCTGACAAATCTTTTCTCAGTTCCTCAGCAGTCACACGGGGACTTCTCTCCACTCTACGCTTCAGGTAGCGCACAGCAGTCGAAGTCAGCATCTTCTTTCTGCCACGACCAGGTAGCGTTTCAACAGTGCCCTTTGCCTTGAATTTGCGAATGATGCTTCCTAAGGTGTCTCTTGGTATGTTTAACATCTTTGCAATCTTCTTATAGCCATTGCCCTTCCTGTGAAGAGAAATCACCTCTTCTCTTGTCTTCCTGGACCATTCTCTTGCCTTCACCATGTTTGTAACCACACCAGTAAATGTCTAGAAGGAGCTGAGTATCACAGTCATTTTAAAGCTGCCTAATTGGTGCTTATTATGCTTGATTGCTGCTCGGTGACATCCACAGGTGTTTTCAATACCTGATGGAAAGCACCTGTATGAACCTCTGTTCTTCAGAGTGGTAGTCTTTAAGGGTGAATAATTGTGGCAATGAAGAAACCACATAAGAACCATTTACTACTACTGTATTACATAAACAATTGATGTCATTTTAGTTGCATTTGGGTAGTTACAACGTCCTTGTAGGATTTGATTCTGAATACAATTCCAAATGTACACTATAGTCCCTAAACCCCTTTACAGCATTGGGGGTTGAATAATTTTGGACACAACTGTAGAACACTGGCTTTTCTTCAGCATACAAATATGGTATACATTTTATATATACTAGCTTCCAGCCTGTAAAGGCACCCTTAGGTAACCAATCATTAGGAAACAATACATACGGAAAAAGATATTTTGTTTTACAGACATGTATAATAGGATGATAGTACCCTAAAAAGTGCAGCCTAGGCTGTTAAAGTAGAAGAAAGAGTACTGGTATCTAAACCATATAACAAGCAACTTCAGAAACAAAACAACCCTTTCTGTGGAAAAGGGCTTTAAAGCATTTACATTTTATAGAGATTTAATGGCTTTAACAGTCATATGTATTAGAACCTGTGCATGGCCAGTGTTCCTGCTCAGTATGTCAAAGATGAGGATGTATATAAATCTAGAACAAATATAGAAATATGGAAAGATGCCACTGACAACTTGCTTTTAAAGGTTCTGACTTACTGGCATCCCCATTATCTTTGTCCTGAGATGACCCCTTACATTTTTGTGCTTCATTTTTCAGCCATTATAATGAACGTGTGGGGGCAGGCCCAGGCAGAGCATGCTTCAGAGGAACTATTCACATAAGTATATATACAGTATATAGTTATTTGCTATATTGTTTATATTGCATTTAACTGCACAAGTTTATGCGTGCTTCTGTAAATTTTATGAGCGAATTGTCGTGCATTTTATACATATATGGTTTTTCTCATTCATTGTGCAATGTGAGGCAGAAACATGCATGGTAGGAATTTTTCAGTTCTCAGCTACTTAAAGCCTAAGTTTAGTTACATAAAAAAAAAATGAGAAGTGTCTCTTGTGTTGGTGGCTGCTCTCTTGTTCGAAATGCTCTGTCCTCAGGACTACCCCTGCAGTGGTAATCTTCCAATGCTGCGAGGATTAATGCAAGCTGATGGACCTGTCATAAGCACTTAAGAGCGCCGACTATGTCCACCCTTTCTGCCCAACTGCTCCATTCACAGAAGCTGTTAATGAAAAGTGTTCTATGAATGGAGGACGTATGGATGAATGAAAGGTTCACCTCCATTCATAAAGCACTTTTCATTGATGGAAGCTATAGTTCACATTTTGGGAATTGAAAAGGGCGGGCACAGTTAACAGTTTCGACGAGGGCCAATGACAGGTTCAGTTCAGTGGCCAAAAATAACCCCCCCCCCCAGTGGTGTATTTAGGTTTTGTGTTTAGGGAAACACAAAAATTGGTGCCCCCCCCCCCCCGGCAGAAAGAGCCTGACATTGAACAAGAACACCCCTACCCTCCACCCGAGCCTTCCACTTCCACTGCCCCCCATACACTAGCAACATCCCCCATGGCGAGAGAGAGAAAGACACTCACCTTCACAGCTCTGGACAGCCCCAGGAACCAAATTCGGGCTGTGCATCCACCGTCATGAAACCCACAGCATCTCTCGGAACCCACCAGTTCCCCATGCCACGTGTGTCCCTTCTTCCAAGGGGCAGTGCTGCCCCCCCTGAAAAATGCCGCCCTAGGCAAATGCCTTGTTTGGCTTGTGGTTTTAATACACCCCTGCCCCCTCGACAGCACCACAAAATTACCTCTGCGAGTATATGGGGTGGAGGTGTGGCACAGGAGGAAGATTTCAACTAAGAGAGCAGCCACCAGCAAAAGGGTCACCATCTCTTGTGCTGATTTAAAAAAAAAAAAATAAATAAATTTAGGCTTAAAAAAAAAAGGCTTGATACATGCAAGTTTGTGTTTGCCATTCATTTCAGTGAACCTTAGAACGTGAAACAACTCAAAAATGCAGTAGGTTCTATATTTTAAGAACATATAGTCATGTAGGAATGTGTTTCTACTCTGCTATTCATTTTCAAACATAAAATATAGGTGGACGGTGGATAAATGTGAATGCATCCTTACAAACTAACTGTGATTTTAAAGTAATAAACACTCAAATTATCGTAGCTGTCCAGTATAGAAGATCACCTGCAACTAAGCAGTCCTCTCGCTTGGGATGGATCTATCTTCTTTGAATCCTTGAGGTTGGCTACGTTATAATCTCCAATGTTGCTGCTATAAACAGAGTGAGCATGGGTTAGATATTCACCTGTTTTACTGATGATGTTCTATAGACACCCCAATAAATGATACTTGTAGTGTACACAGGCCTCCAGCTGTTCATAATATAGTTACTGATATATACACTATGTGGTTAAACGTTTGTAGACAGCTGACCATCACTCCTAGTATATAGCCAAGGGTATATGGACATCACTCCAAGTTATTGAGTTCAAGTGTTTTACCGTGAAGGGTACTGTTAATACTTCAACATACAAAGAAATTTTATTTAAATGTCCCGTTCAACATTGTCGCAACAGTCTGGGAAAGTTTCTTTTCTGTTCCAACACAGCTGTGCCCTTGTGCAAAAAGCCAACTCCATAAAGACATGGAATGAGGAGTTTGATGTGGAGGAACTAGAGTGGCTTGCACAGGATTTTGACTTCAACCCTACTGATTTTGGGGGGCAACTCTTTTTTAATGCCAATGGTTTTGGATGGGATCTCCAAAAGCTCATATAGGTATGATGGTTAGATGTCCACAAACTCTTGGCCACACAGTGTAAGCCTATAAGCATTGAGACAAGCATCTCATAAAGACAAAACGCTAAATATTCGTACTTTCACAACCATCAACAATGAAGCATGACATTACCAACATACTAAACCAGACATACTGTATTACTGTTTATATATATATCTTCGTCTATAGTACTATGGTATTACAGCAATTCTAGTCTAAGCTGCAGGAAGTGGTGACAGAAAACTCAGCACTATACTATACCTGGGTGTAATACGCTTTACTGTACTCAGTGAGATCTGCTTAGCATATGCAGAACATTTCCTTCCAGCTGATCCTCGTCTACAAGAAGAACTGCCAGGCCTGAAAAAAGAAATATTTCATATTTACAGATGACAAACAATGTGTTGTAGAACATTGGCTATGCTTCAGCATACAACTACTGTATGCATTATATATTAAAGGAACCCTTAGGTAACAGCAACAATAACAACTAATCACTAGGAAATGCTGCAAAAGCTAAAAGATATGTGTAATAAGATGATAGTATCCTAAAAAGTGCAGTGTAAGCTATTAAAGTAGAACAAAGAGTACTGACATCTAAACCATATAACATGCAGTTTCAGAAACAAAACAACCTTTTCTGTGGGAAAAGGGTTTTGAAGAATTTACTGTGTATAAGGATTCAATGGCTTTAACAGTCATACACATACGAAAGAATTAAAAAAATCTGAACCAGTGTTCCTGCTCAGTATGCCAAAACTGAGGATGTATACTGTATATCTGGAACAAGTATAGAAATATGGAATGTGCCACTGCCAACCTGCTTTAAAAGGTACAGTATACAGAACTGTTATCTTTATCCTTGCTTCACAACTTGTGTCACTGACCTGGAATTAGTATATAAAGGAGTCCTGACTTCACTAACAGCCTCTATATCTCCGTTCTGAGATGATCCCTTTCATTTTTGTGTTACACTTTTAAGCATGTCTCAAATGATGTATATATAGTGAAATACCACATTTTTTTTAATATTGCATTTATCTGCACACGTTGCACGTTGAATGGGCTCTCATGCCCACACAAACTGCGGGCCAGACGGCCGCATATATGTGAACCAGGGGTTATACTGCATAGTCCTGCCAATACATAGCTGGCTAATTGCATGGTATAGTTATGTTCTGTGACTGTCAGTAATGTATTAAGAGGGCTCAATCCTTGGGGCCTGATAACATGGGTATGCGGCTGCCCCTCCCTCTTTTTAATAAAAAAAATAAAAATAAATATATATATATAAATGCAGCATCTCACAGAAGTGAGTACACCCCCTCACATTTTTATTTTCACATATTTTATTATATATTTTCATGTGAACATGTGAAGAAATGACACTTTGTTACACTGTAAAGTAGTGAGTAGTGTAGCTTGTATATCAGTGTAAATTTTCTGTCTCCTCAAAATAACTCAACACACATCCATTAATGTCTAAACCGCTGGCAACAAAAGTGAGTACACTCCTACGTGAAAATGTCCAAATTGGGCCCAATTAGCCATTTTCCCTCCCTGGTGTCATGTGATTCGTTAGTATTACAAAGTCTCAGGTGTGAATGGGGAGCAGGTGTGTTAAATTTGGTGTTATCGTTCTCACTCTCTCATACTGGTCACTGGGAGGATCTGAAAAAAAGAATTGTTGCTCTACATAAAGATGGCCTAGGCTATAAGAAGATTGCCAAGACCCTGAAACTGAGCTTCAGCATGGTGGCCAAGAGCATACAGCGGTTTAACAGGACAGGTTCCACTCAGAACAGGCCTCGCCATGGTCGACCAAAGAAGTTGAGTGCACGGGCTCAGCGTGATATCCAGAGGTTGTCTTTCGGAAATAGACGTATTAGTGCTGCCAGCATTGTTGCAAAGGTTGAAGGGGTGGGGGGTCAGCCTGTCAATTCTCTGACCATATGCCGCACACTGCATCAAATTGGTCTGCATGGCTGGCATCCCAGAAGGAAGTCTCTTCTTAAGATGATGCACAAGAAAGCCCACAGTTTGCTGAAGACGAGCAGAATAAGGACATGGATTACTGGAACCATGTCCTGTGGTCTGATGAGACCAAGATAAACTTATTTGGTTCAGATGGTGTCAAGCGTGTATGGCGGCAACCAGGTGAGGAGTGCAAAGACAAGTGTGTCTTGCCTACAGTCAAGCATGGTGGTGGGAGTGTCATGGTCTGGGGCTGCATGAGTGCTGCCGGCACTGGGGAGCTACAGTTCATTGAGGGAACCATGAATGCCAATATGTACTGTGACATACTGAAGCAGAACATGATCCCCTCCCTTCGAAAACTGGGCCGCAGGGCAGTATTCCAACATGATAACGACCCCAAAGACAACTCCAAGACGACCACTGCCTTGCTAAAGAAGTTGAGGGTAAAGGTGATGGACTGGCCAAGCATGTCTCCAGACTTAAACCCTATTGAGCATCTGTAGGGCATCCTCAAACGGAAGGTGGAGGAGCGCAAGGTCTCTAACATTCACCAGCTCCGTCATGGAGGAGTGGAAGAGGACTCCAGTGGCAACCTATGAAGTTCTCATGAACGCCACGCCCAATAGGGTTAAAGCAGCGCTGGAAAATAATGGTGGCCACACAAAATATGGACACTTTGGGCCCAATGTGGACAATTTTACGTAGTGTACTCACTTTTGATGCCAGTGGTTTAGACATTAATGGCTGTGTGCCGAGTTATTTTGAGGGGACAGAAAATTGACACTGTTATACAAGCTGTACACTCACTACTTTACATTGTAGCAAAGTATAATTTTTTCAGTGTTGTCACATGAAAGATATAATAAAATATTTACAAAAATGTGAGGGGTGTATTCACTTCTGTGAGATATTGTGTGTATATATATATATACACACACACACACACACACACACTGCTCAAGAAAATTAAAGGAACGCTTTTTAATCAGAGTATAGCATCAAGTCAACTAAACTCCTGCAATATTGATCTGGACAGTTAAGTATCAGAGGGGATTGTTAATCAGTTTCAGCTGCTTTGGTGTTAATGAAATTAACAACAGGTGCACTAGATGAGCAAAAAGGAAATTACCCCCAAACACAAATGGTTTTACAGGTGGAGGCCACTGATATTTTTTCCCTACTTATCTTTTCTATTTTTCACTAGTTTTGCATTTGGCTAGGGTCAGTGTCACTACTGGTAGCATGAGGCGATACCTGGACCCTACAGAGGTTGCACAGGCAGTCAAACTCCTCCAGGATGGCAAATCAATTCATGCCATTGCCAGAAGGTTTGCTGTGCCTCCCAGTCTCAAGAGCATGGAGGAGATTCCAGGAGACAAGTAGGTACTCTAGGAGAGCTGGACAGGGCCATAGAAGGTCCTTAACCCATCAGCAGGACCGGTATCTGTGCAAGGAGGAACAGGATGAGCACTGCCAGAGCCCTACAAAATGACCTCCAGCAGGCCATTCTTGTGAATGTCTCTGACCAAACAATCAGAAACAGATTTCATGGCGCGGAGTCTAAGTCCCAGGCTGCTTATTCACCAGGGCCCCTGATGGTGGGGATGGACTTGGAGCCGACAGGAACCAGGTCACGACCCCTGAGTACACCTGCTCGTGGTAGAGGGATCCGCCAGAGGTATATACTGATGTGAAGAGGCAGAAGGTGTGAGCAGGGATGGCTGGATCCGTGCAGGATGGATCATCTGGGTAGTATAAGGCGCAGTCAGGCAGGCCAGGTCAGCAACGTGCGGGCAGCGAGGTACCGAAGGAGCAGGCAGAGAATGGTCAGGGTCACAAGCCGGGTTCAGTAACTCATGGGCAGCGTGGTACAGAGGATCAGGCAGAGAATGGTCAGGGTCACAAGCCGGGTTCAGTAACTCACGGGCAGCACGGTACAGAGGGTCAGGCAGAAGGACGGTCAGGCAAGCCAGGGGTTAAACAGGAGACGGTCAGCAACAATGCAGAGGTCGGCAACAGAAGATAGGCAGAGGAACAGGAACACAGGATACCAGGTACAGGGGCTCATGGGAAACAATACACCAAGGCACTGACTGCAGGTCTGGCCATTCCTTAAATACACCTCCTGCAATCAGCCTCAGGTGATGGATGATTGCAGGAGTGAGCTTTTGGTTGCTGAGGGCACCCGCTGGCCATCCCTGGTACTGCAGCCCACACGGCAGGTGAGTCCCACCACCAGTGGTGAACCCATTCCTGACAGTACCCCCCCCCCCCCCTCAAGGAGCGGCCTCAGGACGCTCCAAACAGTCCTTAGTGAGCAAAATGTTCCACCGCCCGGGTCAGGTAACTGGCTGAATATCCTACTGCCGGAGTCAACTGGCTGGCTGGGTTTCCTGCTGGTAGACTTCTCTTTGTGTAGGAGAACCCAGGAAGGCAGGTTACTGGACACAGGATCTCCAGGAGCAGGCTGGGAACCAGTTATTGGACAGTTTAGCTGGAGCCTTAGTGAGCAAAATGTTCCACCGCCCGGGTAGGTAATTGGCTGAATATCCTACTGCCGGAGTCAACTGGCTGGCTGGGTTTCCTGCTGGTAGACTTCTCTTTGTGTAGGAGAACCCAGGAAGGCAGGTTACTGGACACAGGATCTCCAGGAGCAGGCTGGGAACCAGTTATTGGACAGTTTAGCTGGACATCAGGGGCTGGCACGTCAGGCTGGGCAGCGAGCAAAGGCACGTCAGGCTGGGCAGCGGACAGAGGCACGTCAGGCTGGGCAGCGGACAGAGTCACGTCAGGCTGGGCAGCGGACAGAGTCACGTCAGGCTGGGCAGCGGACAGAGTCACGTCAGGCACAGACAGAGGCACTGGCTGGACAGAGGACAGAGGCACGTCAGGCTGGACAGCGGACAGAGGCACGTCAGGCTGGACAGCGGACAGAGGCACGTCAGGCTGGGCAGCGGACAGAGTCACGTCAGGCTGGGCAGCAGACAGAGGCACTTCAGGCTGGGCAGCGGACAGAGGCACGTCAGGCTGGGCAGCGGACAGAGGCACGTCAGGCTGGGCGGCAGGCACCGAGTCGTCTGGCACGACAGCGGGCACCGAGTCATCTGGCAGAACAGCGGGCACTGAGTCACCTGGCAGAACAGCGGGCACCGGGTCACCTGGCACGACAGCGGGCACCGAGTCATCTGGTACGACAGTGGGCACCGAGTCATCTGGCTCGACAGTGGGCACCGAGTCACCAGGCTCGACAGCAGGCACCGAGTCACCAAGCTCGACAGAGGGCACCGAGTCATGGCACGACAGCGGGCACCGAGTCACTAAGCTCGACAGCGGGCACCAGGTCATCAAGCTGGATAGGATCATCAGGCTGGGTAGGATCATCAGGCCGGATCGGGTCATCAGGCCGGATCGGGTCATCAGGCTGGATCGGGTCATCAGGCTGGACAGCGGGCACCAGATCATCAGACGGGATGGGATCATCAGGCTGGATGGGATCATCAGGCTGGATGGGAGCATCAGGCCGAGTAGGAGCATCAGGCCGGGTAGGAGCATCAGGCCGGGTAGGAGCATCAGGCTGAACAGAGCGCACCAGGGCACCAGGCTGGATAACAGAAGGCGGGTTCTCAGGCCGCAGGCTGACCGGTTTGGATACTGGCAGGATGGTGCTTGTTGGGAAGAATTTTCGCTTCTTCCTGGTTTTAGTTACCGGAGCACTGTAAGTAAACGCAGGTCTGTAAACGGAGGGAGCAGCTTCTACAGAGGACTTCTTTACAGGGTTAAGGGCAGGATAGGTGCAGCGAGTGGGAACAGGGGACTGACACGTGGTTGATAGTAGGGTATACTGGGCTGTCACTGGGGGTGCTGTGGGAACTGGAGGAAGAGAGCTTTGAGCAGAGTAATGGTTAGAAGCAGGACTGCGTTGTTGCAGGTGATGGCTGATTGCAGGAGTGAGCTTCTGGTTGCTGAGAGCACCCGCTGGCCAGCCCTGGTACTGCAGCCCACACGGCAGGTGAGTCCCACCACCAGTGGTGAACCCATTCCTGACAGTATATACATACACACACACACACACACATATAAAAGGTTACTGTGCCTATAAATTTTGAAGAGAGCTTGGGTGGGAAAAACAGGTATCACGTGACCTGGGAAAAAATTCTAGAAGGTCATATGACTAGTTAGAAGATTCGAGAACAGTGGTCAGTGTTAGCGCAATGAGCTCCAGCAAGCTATAACACTTTTGGAGCTTGTTGCCACGGACCTGACCATGAAGACACTGATAAGTGAGTGTTGGAGCGGGCGGGCACAGCAGAGGAAAAGAGTGGCTCAGAAGATGCCTCCAGATGACTGAAGAGGACGAGGAGTGGTGGGAGCAAGTGAAAGAGATGGCAAAAGATAAGGCTGAAGACTCACTGGGATATCGCCTGGACAGAGGGAAACCAGCGGCTAGGAGTCCCCAGCATTGCCGTCAGGACTAGCATGACCCGCTGCTGAGTTTGCATCCTTCTTCAGGTCACAGGAAGCCGGTCCGGTGCAGCAAGAAGAGGCGGCATCAAGTGTGGGACACAGCAGAGTGAATCCCCGCAAGAGGAAGAAGAGGAGGGTGCTGTCCCCGTCACCGCTCAGAAGGCGAGGTAGACGGGCTGAACATATGGCTTCAAGTGCAGTGGCTGGGGAGGCGTCAGCCTCTGAAGAAGTTGCTAGGCAACCAACTCAATGTCCCTCTGGGCAGGAAGGTCAGGTGACTGACACAGTGGAACAGCCTGTGCAGGTTGTCCCGGCCATAACCAGCAGGGGAGTATTGGACAGCGCAGGGCTCCTATTGGACAAGCCATTGAGACAGAGACATCTAGTGGTGAGTTAACAGATCTACTGCATTATATTTTGAATTCTTTTAAATAACATAGCTAGCAGTATTCCTGCATCTGTTAATGCTGATACTAATTATGATGCTGTTTGGTCAAATGCGTTAGATAATTCCAATTCAAGAGATAATGTTTTTCCCATCAATAATATTAACAAAAATTGTGCTGGCAATGTTTTTCTTTTGGTACAGTTTATAACTCCTAAATTTGTCTATTAATAATTTAGCTGTTCGTGAGACATGTCTAAAGGAAGTATTGCCTTGTGAAATCTTGCCGCTAGGTTATCCTCTGTCAGCTCAGATAACAGAAAATATTTTGGAAAGAAAGGAGAATTTTTAAAAATTCTGTCTTTATTCCCATCTTCAAAAGATTTTACACATAAATCAGAAAAAAAATTAGACAAAAAACCTGACAACGACAGACGTAGACCAGTGTCGAGATCGTTTAACAACTGGTTACAGGCTTTCACTATTTATTCTAGTGCAGGGGTCTCCAAACTTTCTAAAGAAAGAGCCAGTTTACTGCCCTTTAGACTTTAGGGGGGCCGGCCTGTGCCCAGTGGGAGTAAAACATGCCTGATCTTTGGTGTTGGGGGGAGAAATAGTTGGTGTGAATAGGAAGAATAGAGCCCCATTTTTGTTGTCAGTGGAAGGAATTATGCCTCATTGTTGGTGTCAGTGGCATGAATTATGCCCTATTGTTGGTGTCAGTGGCAGGAATAATTTCTCAAGGGCCGGATAAAGGCAAGCAAAGGGCCGCATCCGGCCCTAGGGCCGCAGTTTGGAGACTATTGCTCTAGTGTGTTAGGCGAAAAACACCCAGAATATTGCAGCGGTTTATTCCAACATTTGGAACATGTGTTGGAAGCATATAAAAGCTTCAGCGAGTTAGGCTGGTATCACTACGACGAGTCTTTTAGACAGAAATGATCTATTTACCTTTCTTTAAAATGGGGAATGAAAAATGTAGGATTGCGCCTTAATCTCATGCTTCCACAAAAACCTGCTTATGCAAAACAACAATCAATATCAACCATCTCTCCATATAAAAGAGGTTACTGCTATGCTTTTAAGGAAACCCAATGTAAGTGAGGAAATTCATGTAAATACAAGCATGAATGCTCCTTTTGTTCAGGACAACACTGTACTTAAATGGCACAAAAGGAATGTCACATTACAAAACCAGAGATACCCTTCCAAAAAGTTTACACATTAGTGAAATTTACAAACATACTTCATTGGCTGGAAATATATCCAAGCACGGAGATAGCCAAGTTTTTAATTGAACGCTTTACAAATGGTTTTCCGTTACCTGTATTTTCGGGCACTGGTTGTACTTTGGCTAACAATTTAAAGTCTATTTCACAATTTCCACATATTGTTAGGGAGAAATGAAATATAGAACTTTTAGAAGGCTGTATGGCAGGACCATTTAGATATCCACCTTTTAAAAAATTTAGAACATCCCCACTTGGTATTATACCTAAAAAAGAGCCAAATTCCCGCCTGATACATCATTTATCATTTCCAAGAGGATCATCTCTAAATGATGAAACTGATTCACAGTTGTCCTCTGGTTTCTTATTGCACCTTTGATGAAGCAATATATCAAAATTTGGCAAAGCAGCATTACTTGCAAAAGCTGATATTAAGGCGGCTTTCCACCTGTTACCAATAGCCCCTTCTTCGTTTAATTCTTTGGGAATATATTTTGAAGGAGAATATTATTATGACATGTGTCTTCCTATGGGATGCTGTATTTCATGTGCTTATGTCAAGAAATTTGCTACTTTTCTTTAGTAGGTTGTTTCTTTTGAAGCAGGATTTGCTGGTATATTACACTACTTGGGTGATTTCCTTTTTATAGCTCCAGCAGAATCATCTCTTTGTCTTTTCAAGCTACAACTATTTAGTATGGTCACACAGCACTTTGGCGTACCCTTGGCTACAGAAAAAACGATTTTTCCGTCTACAAAAATATAATTTTTGAGAATAGATATAGTTACGGAATTTTTACAATTTCAATTGCCTTTGTCCAAAATAGATAAAATAAAATCTATATTGTTTGTTTTTGAGATGGAAAAAAAGTGTTATTAAAAGAGCTTCAGTCCTTAATGGGACTATTGGCATTTGCAACAAGAATTAGGCCAGTTGGCAGGATATTCTCTCGACCCCTTTCATTAGCTATGTCAGGTCCTAAATCACCATTTTCTCATGTCAGATTAGATTAACTGCTGACTTATAAGAGGACCTGTTAGTATGGCAAAAATGTTTCGACATTTACAACGGTAAATAGTTTTTTCAGGGTGAATTTATTTTTTTGTTGAATTTAGAATTGTACACAGATGCGGCAGGGTCGTGCAGATTGGCTACCATTTGGAAAACACATTGGTGCTGCAGTGAATGGCCTGCTAAATGGATTTACATGAAAGCGACTAAAAACATAGTATCATTAGAATTATTCCCGTTGGTACTGCATTAAAAAATTTGGGGTGAGCACTTTGCTAATCAGAGGATTTTAATACACTTGTATAATAAAGGAGTCATTTACTCAGTAAATTGCTTACCATCCAAATCAATTTTCATTATAAAATTGCTTAGATATTCAGTATTTTTATGTTTACGTTTGAATATTTGGCTCAAAGCTAGACATATACCAGGGAAGGAGAATTAAACTGTGGATGCTCTATCTCGATTTCAGATATCAAGATTTCGTCAATTGCTACCCAACACGGACAAGCAAGGTTTTGCATGTCTGGAACATCTTTGGGACCTAATTTGGCAGAATGTATAAAAAAAATTTAGTAGCCCAGAGTACATGGGTTCATTATTCAGCTGCATGGGATCAGTGGATATAATTATCCAAAGCGTTTGGCTTTCTGTTTCTCCTTCTGAGGCAACAATTTTGAGCTTTCTATGCTCCTTGATGCACTTGGAGTTTTCATATAGCCATATATTAAAAATATTGGCAGAAGTCTAATTTTTCTTTATCCACCTTCCGCCCGCCATATAGTACAATGACGGGCGCAAGGTGGTTCTCTCGTTCTGATAGGACGTCATATGACGTCCTTCCATTCTGACCGCGCATGCGTGGCTCAGGGAGCGCGCAGCGCGGCGATCGCCGGAGCGCTGTGTCCCTCCGACACAGCGGATCACGGATCACGGAAAGAGCCGAAGATGTCGGATCAGTCATGTGATCAGCTGTGTCCAATCACAGCTGATCACATGTAAACACGGAAATGCAGGTTATTGGCATTTCTCTCCTCTCGAGATGTCACGCTGACAGCTCGAGAGGAGAGGAGAGGAGAGCCAGTAATCGGCTTTCCGCGGAGGGGACATGTACACTGATCATCAGGGCACTGATGATCAGTGTGCCCTGATGATCAGTGTGACCCCAGAAGTGCCACCTGTCAGTGTCCATCAGTTGCAGCAGTCAGTGCTCATCAGTGCCATGTGCCAGTGCCCATCAGTGCCACATATCAGTGCATACCAGTGCACATCAATGCCACATATCAGTGCCCATCTGAGCTGCCTTTCAATGCCACCCATCAGTGCCAGTCAGTGCCACCTATCAATGCCAATCAGTGCCACCTATCAGTCCTGCCAATCAGTGCCACCTATCAGTGCCAGTCAGTGTCGCCTATCAGTGTGCATCAGTGCCGCCTATCAGTGCCAGTCAGTGCTGCCTATCAGTGCCAGTCAGTGCCGCTTAACAGTGCCAGTCACTGCTGCCTAACAGTGCCATATATCAGTGTCATGTATCAGTGCTGCCTTTCAGTGCCCATCAGTGATGCCTGTCAATGCCCATTAGTGCAACCTACCAGTGCCTCCTCATCAGTGCCCATCAGTGCCACCTATCAGTGTCCATCAGTGCAGCCTATCAGTGCCCATCAGTGCAGCCTCAATAGCGCACATCAGTGAAGGAGAAAAATCACTTATTTACAAAATTGTATAATAAAAACTAAGAAAAAATGTTTTTTTCTCTACATTTTCAGTGGTTTTTGGTTTGTTTCAGAAAAAATAAAAATCCCAGAGGTGATTAAACACCACCAAAAGAAAACTCTATCTGTCTCAAAAAAATGATAAAAATTTCATATGGGTACAGTGTTGCATGACCGCACAATTGTCATTCAAAGTGTGACAGCGCTGAAAGCTGGAAATTGTCCTGGGCAGGAAGGGGGTATAAGTGCCCTGTAGGCTAGTGGTTAAACTGCAAAATTTAGCCCCGTGCAATTCATTCTTTTCAGTACAGCAAGCTCTTAAAGGTTACAAGACGACCCATCATGTCCCAGATACCAGAAGGCCAATTACAATTGATTTGTTAAAAAAATATTTTTAAGGCTACTTCATACGTTTGTTTATCGGAATTTGAAAAGTTGTTGTCTAATACGTCATTTATATTAGCATTCTTTGGCACCATGTGAATCTCAGAATTATTACCTCATAATAAAAAAATCATCTTCTGGTTTAATGTATCACAATATAGTTCTTTTGGAGTCGGGGATACGTTTATTCCCCATTCAAAAACAGGCCAGTTTAGAAAAGGTACATGGATATCACTTTACACATGTGGGGATGCTGAAACTTGCCCCTTAGTTATGGTTAAAAAATATTTATCTATTAGACCGACCTGTCCTGGTCTCTTTCTCATGTTTATGTTGAGGATTATTCTCCTCTTACGAGTTACCAATTTGATTTTGTTTTAAAAGCCAGCATGAATAGGTTAGGGCTTCAACAATTTAGATTCACGTCACACTCATTTAGAATAGGAGCAGCAACTGAAGCCGCAAGATTGGGTTTGGATGAAACTATCATAAAAAAAATGGGCAGATGGGAGTCTCAATGTTTTAAGATGTATGTTAGACCTAATCTTTCTGTTTCATTTCCAGGTGATAGAAGATATATATGGATCCTGGGACACTCTTTTGTGTATTGGGCTTATAAAGAGCTGTGCAACGATGTTAGACTTCTAATTTGTCCTTGGATCCTGAAAAATGTCAAGTTTTATGGAAAGGAATACGGGGTCTTAGCTTGTCTAATATTTTCTGTCATCTTTCTAGGTTATCTGAAGTGTGGCCTGCTCCAGCTATTTTAATCATTCACTTTGGGGGAAATGATGTTGGTAATGTAAATACTTTGGATCTAATGTTTATGATGAAGCATGACTTATATTGCTTCAAATTATCACCCCCGAATACCACAATTATTTTCTCAGAGATAGTGCCTCGTGTTAATTGGCTAATTTATCCAAAGTTAAAAAAATCTGGATAAAATGAAACATCATTTGAATAAGTCTATCGAAAAGTTCATGCCTCTTTTGGGTGGCTTTTCCTATAGACACTTGGATTTAGAAGGAGGCTTTAGGGGAATATATAGATCAGATGGTGTTCATTTAAGTGGAGTAGTTTTAGACATTTTTAATGTGGGACTGCAAAATAGCATTGAGATGGCCGTATGTGTGGGGTAGGCCGGTCTTGAAACTTCAAGCCCGGCTAGTGGGGGCTGTTATTATATTTATTCATTTTGAGCTCGAGTCCTTAACGACTGAGCAATTTGATTGTTATCTGATAAGAGAAGTATAAACTTGATTATTAATTATTTATAGTATTTGTTATTTATTTATTTAAACTGATAAAGTGCCACAGCGAAACTTTTGCCATTAAAGATTATGTGTGTATTTATTTAACTGGTTAGACATTTGTTATTCGGGAGAGGGAGAAAAGGTGCGGCCTGCATTCCCATGTATTTATACCCATATATGAAAAGGATTTTCTGTATCCTTCCCCAGATCCGTGCCTTGATACAATCCTGTCTCGGAGGTCTACGGACAATTCCTTGGACTTCATGGCTTGGTTTGTGCTCTGACATGCACTGTTAACTGTGGGGCCTTATATAGACAGGTTTATGTCTTTCCTAATCATGTCCAATCAACTGAATTTCCCACAGGTGGACTCCAATCAAGTTGTGGAAACATCTCAAGGATGAACAGTGGGAACAGGATGCACCAGAGCTCAATTTTGAGTATCATGGCAAAGGCTGTGAATACTTATGTACATGTGATTGTTTCTGTTTTTTATTTTTAATAAATTGCAAAGATTTCAAAACAAACTTCTTTCACGATGTCATTAAGGGGTATTGTTTGCAGAATGTTGAGGGAAAAAATAAATTTAATCCATTTGGAATAAGGCTGTAACATAACAAAATGTGGAAAAAGTTAAGCGCTGTGAATACTTTCTGGATGCACTGTATATACATATAAAAGGGTACTGTGCCTTTAAATTTTGAAGAGAGTTCGGGCGGGAAAAACAGGTATCACGTGACGTGGGAGAAAATTCTAGAAGGTCACATGACTAGTTAGAAGATTCGAGAACAGTGGGGCTTATTATATAAAAAAGCTCCACCAGTGGGGATTTGCCAGTTGGTCAGTGTCAGGGGAATGAACCCCCCCTCCTTTGCTGCAAGGCACATTATGTGGTATTGTCACTCTTTACATTTAAAGGGGGACTATTATTATATTTAGTCAGTTTGAGCTCGAGTCCTTAACGACTGAGAAATTTGATTGTTATTTGATAAGAGACGTATAAACTTGATTATTAATTATTTATATTTTGTTATTATTTATTTATTTAAACCAATAAAGTGCCACGGCCAAACTTTTGCCATTAAAGATTGGGTGTGTGTGTATTTATTTAACTGGTTAGATATTTGGTATTCGGCAGAGGGAGATAAGGTGCGGCCTGCATTCCCATTAAACTGCTTAGGAAAGAAATCAATTGCTGCACAGGATTTGCGCCATTGACTAAGAAATGAAGATGAATTAAGGAGGCTGAGCAGACGCAAACATGTAAATTTTATGCAAACAGCACTATCTGGAGTCTTCTTGGCAATATTTCTTCTACCAGCCTGGGATGCATTGTGAAGTACATTACCTCTCTTACTGCCAAATGTGATTCCTTCACAGCTTATTGAGCTAAGGATATATAAAAAAACTTCAGTAAAAGTAACCCTGTGCATTGTCCATTCTAAGTAAAGTAACAGCTTCAACATATAGGAGGGACCATCCACAAGCTTTCCTGACACCCTGATCTGCTTTCAGACTTACTACATCCAGGTAGAAGTACATGTGACACTTCCTCTGTGTCCATTTCCTTCAGCATCAGAGCGGATTTGATCAAAATCCTTGGCATCTGGTTTGAAACTGAGGGAGCAGCCCTGAAGTCTTGGGAGGAGAGACCATCCAAAATTAAACAAATTCAGCCTCTGCAGCCTCAGTAAACTTACCACTGAAGGAAAGACACTGGTACCTGCAGTGAGACCCTCCCAGTGTTGCAGTACCTCGACAAGGCCTTGTCCCCCAGGACAACACCTGTAAGGCCTTCACCCGGGCAGTGTTTTAACTTCATCTTGGGATCTAAGATGGGTAGGGTAATGTGGGAAGTCATGTTCAAGGAACCCCTCGAAGGCAATAGGGAAGTCCCCAACATTGTTATTCAACTGAGGGTGTTCTCTGCCTGCAACTGAATACATTGGACTTCGATAGATAAGACTATGGACTCTTGTGGCAACTCCATACCTGTTTTTTCCCTCCTGCCACTTTGGAGGTCCTTCAGTTGGGACACATTGGACAGCTCCATCCCCTACCTATGACACTCCTTGGTTTTACTTGGACACATGTAAGTTTACCAAGGAGCAGGGGCTCTGAGTGAATGTTTTTAATTGATTTGAAAAGAGAAAATACTGCATTTAGCCACTGGATGGCTGTAAATATCAGAGGAATTTCCTATGATACGTCACATCATCTAGTAGCCAAACGTGATATCTTCTATTTAGAATCGATTAAAAACAATAATCCCCCACACAGAAAATAGTCTAATAACATATATTTTTTGCCTCATTTGTACAGGACGAATGTACACACACTTTCACTGGGCAAATCTCTACACAAATGTTTGATACATATACCCCTAAGTATGCCACCTAAGTGCATGAGTAAAATCATTTATGCTGCTTAATGCAAAGGCAGACGTAAAGTGTAACTAAACCCAGAGACAAGAATGTAACATAATGCACTTATCAAACAAATGCTATTAATGGTATATTCCTAGATTGTAAGCTCGAAAGAGCAGGGCCCTTGATCCCCTCATGTTTTGCATTGTATTGTTGTTGTTCTGTCACATGTTCTGTCCCCCTTTGTAATGTACAGCGCTGAGAGAACTATTGGCGCTTTATAAATACTGTATAATAATAATATTCAACAGACACCCTAAGCCAAGACAAAAGACATCACTAAACACAATATTATGATCATGATCTTAGCAGGGCACACTCCTGATCAGACACGAGGGAATGGATATGCATCATAGCAGAGCACACTCCTGATCAGAATGATCTGCCAAGTTTATAATTCCACCTAGACAGGAATGATCTGCCCAAGTAGACGTGCAAAGCTTTGGTGGCCAAAACATTACATGCCATTTTGTACTGGTGTGATGTCTAGATCGCTTGGTCAGGTTGCCTTACAAACTTCTCAGTCTTCACTGTGCGTTTATGCTCTATCTCCAATCAGCCAAGAGGGGTTCTGTCCTGAACTGAACACATCTCAGTAATGCTTTAAACCTTCACAATATAATGTGTTCATTGATGTTT